GTGTGTATGATAGGTAGGACCATATATTAATAGTGTAGTAAGCAACTATTATATAAATTGGCTATAGATGAATTAGAGTCAGTAGTGGGCTATACTATTAAACTTGCTCTTAGAAGACAGAAGGGTGACGCGGCATTGTGCAAAGTGTGCAACGAGGGGTTATTGTCGGATACCGGAGAAAGACACGGAACATCGGTCAAACCTAACCATTTCTCTTCCTCCACATGTTGTCGGTGAGCGGTGACTGGGAGGAGGAAGGAGGCGCTCATCGGTGTTGATGTCGACAACATCAGCATGGCGCATGGCCTCCCGAGGTAGGCGCCAGTCACTCAGTCACTCTGCGGATAAATGGGTCTCACATATATTTTTTTAATTCTAACACCACATAACGCGAGTTCGTCTTGGTCTAGGTCTAGAACTATCTTCAACGGTTTGTGTAGCCATAAATTCTATTTAATGATTTGTGTTGACTTTGTATACTATTCCATTGTAGTTGTAAATACACGATCTTTTCGTAGATCCATTGTAATCTTGAAATTCTATAAAAATGGAAACAACAACTTTAGTCACCATCTCCATATCTGGTTTACTTGTAAGCTTTACTGGGTATGCCTTATATACCGCGTTTGGGCAACCCTCTCAACAATTAAGAGATCCATTCGAAGAACAGAGGACTAATTGAAGTAAGAAGTCTCCCAGATGGGGAGACTTCTTACTTCAATTAAATTATTTCACTTTTTTAGTCGGAACCTTAGGTGGTTCTCGGAAGAAGATAGCGAAAAAAATTATCCCTAAAGTTGAAACTAAAAGGAACGTATAAACCAATGCTTCCATAGATTCGATCGTGGTTTATTTACAATTATAACTTCCACACCTATTCATTTTTCATTTGGGATCATTTCTCGTATAAAAAAGGAAAAAGAGTCAAAGAAGGGATGGGAGATATTTCCATGTCAAATCAAAAAAGAGAGGTGAAAAACGTGAGTCGAAGATCAAGTCAACACCACTACATAGGCGCCACGTCAGTGAAACTATCGTGGGAGTCAAATTGCACCGATTTTAATAGTTGAGAGGTGGAGATATCCGGTATCCTATTTCACGAATATGAATCAAATTTATCATCGGACTCGACGATGGGCTGAACATTTTACCAAAAGAGCAAATTAAGACTACAATAACGTTTGTTTAAGGGACTAGCTAAAAAACTGTCGAGTGTTTTTTAAGGGGAAAACTTTCAAATCTAACTATAGTATATAATTTCACTAGAACTATACTATAATAATAATAACTTGTATATATGTATTAAAATAATATATGCAACTTTATATCCAATTTATATAGAGATAACAATGTAGTTATAGTGTAGTTACACTGTAGTTACAATCTAATTACAATGTAATTAGAGTGTAACTACAATGTAACTAGTATGTAACTGGAATGTAACTTGAACAAATCTACCATAAACATGCGATAATGGGACTAACTTGTAAAAAGAGGGTCTAGATCCGATTGTAAAATATCTCAACACAAATCTTAGAGCGGAATCGACGGTAAAAAAATTAATATAGCAGTTCCGTTGTTTAATGGAGTTGGGAACCTTCCTCCCACGGAAAACAAGCAAACTTATTAGCACATGATTAATACAATATTTAAAAATAGATTAATATAATTTTTTTAATAACTTTTCAATAACAATTTTTCGTAAGAAAAATTGGAGAGTATGAGTTGGGAAAGGAAAGGAAAGATCACAACCATGCCAGATAATTATTCAGTCTCTGACACTGCGATGGGCTGAACAGTTCGATCTCCGACTCGGCCGTTTTATCATCGCAAATCGCAGTCGCAAAGCAGAGCAAGAAAAAAAAAATCCGCCAATTCATCCGTTTCCAGTAGGGCTCCCGGCCGCCTCCGGCAGATCCGCCGCCATGGAGGAAGAAACCGCCGTCGCAGACTGGTCGGCGCTGCCGGACGACGTCGTCATCACCGTAATGGGGTATTTGGCCGACCCCGACGACCTCGTCCGCTCCGGCGCCGTCTGCTCCACCTGGCGCGCCGCGTACGCCACGTTCCGGCGACTCCGCCTGCCGTCCACGACGGCACGGCCGCCGTGGTTGCTCTACTCCTGCGACGCCTACGGCCCCGCCGCCGCCGCGCTCTACTGCCCCGCCACCGGCAAGTCCCTCCGTGTCCCGCTCCCGGCCGCCCTGCTCGATGGACGGCCCGTGTTCGGCGCGTCGCAGGGGTGGCTGGTCACCGTCGACGAGGCGCCCAACCTCCATCTCGTTCTCGTCAACCCTCTCACCGGCGCCATGGCGACCCTCCCGCCGATCACCAGCCTCCACAACGTCGAGAGGTTCACGAGCAGAAAGGGCAAGACGAGGTACAGGGTGTACGACGACATGGCATACAACGAGGCGTCCCTTGTGTACTCGCCGGCGCAGGCGAGGGAATGGGCGTACCACCAGGTGGTCCTCTCGTGCAGCCCCGCCGAGGGGAGCGCCTGCGTCGCGCTCCTCCTGCACCGGCCCGACGGCGATGAGCGGTGGACGCCCGTCGCGTACCCGGGACAGGCGTGCTCCACCGCCTGTCGCCACGCCATCTACGACGACGCCGACGGCCTCTTCTACACGTTGCGGTTCGATGGCTCCATCTACGCTATCGACGTCCCACGCGCCGCATCCGCGTCGTCGTCGCCGCCGCCGCCGCCGGCGACGAGAGAGGTCATGCGGGGCGTCACGGACCTGGACAACGGCAGCAAGTACCTCGTCCGGGCGCGCCATGTTCCGAAGATCTCCTGCAGGTTTGGAGGTTCGACTACGCCGACGGCGACGACGTCGAAGACGACGAAGCCGGACTCTTCACCAGACAACTGCAGATCCTCAAGGTCGACGGCGGTGAGCAGAAGCTCGTGGAGGCGTCGGCGGCGAGCTTGGAGGATCATGTCCTCTTCCTCGGCTACGAGTTCTCGGCGTGCTTCCCGGCTGAGCACTTCCCGGCGTTGAAGCCCGGATGCGCTTACCTCGCCGACGACCACGAACTCGTCAGCATGAGAAAGCATTGCCGGCGAGACATTGGCAGATGGGACATGAAGAGAGGTCAGATGGAAAGGCTCTCCGGCGAAGATGACGTGGCGGCGCCGTCGCAGCCTTGGCTCAACTGGCCAACTCCTGTCTAGATCACGCCAACATTCTACTAGCGCATCTCGTGCCTTCAGCTATAGCACCACACATTTTATTTATTTTTTTTGACGCATTTATTTATTTATTTATTTTGTCAATATGAATTATTGTCCTCTTGATTTCTTGATAAAAATTTGGCGAATCTTGTGAAGCATCAAGTTGTTTCTCGTGGAATGATGGCCAATTCGGCCTTTTGAGTTTTCTAGTATTCGTGCACGTGCAACATACGTTCTAAATGTCAGCCAAACTTAGATAGTACTGGCCCCGAATTTACCGAGCAATTTTGACCATTGTGACACATAAATGTAGTAGCCAATGACAAACATAACGAGATTACAATTAAACGATAGCCCTAATTTGGCCGTGCCCTCGCCAAACAGAGAGGCACGTCTACAAGCAACTAAACCAATGCCACAGAGGCCTAATCTTATTTCCACACATTTCTTCAGAAAATTCATCAGAAAGATAAGCACAATCAAGTTTTAACATAGGGAAAATTCCTTTGTTAGAAGGTACACCACTGAAGGAACAGAGCACGATCCCCAATGCTGCGCATCTTAACAAACTTGTGCTTATCAATATCAACTTTATATAACATAATTTCTTCTGTAAACCATTTATCAGATCAATCCTCATCAGGTTCATCCGGTTCATAATCACCATCAGGAATTTCTTCTGTTTCTTCCGAGTCTCTCAACCTCCGTACCTCCAAGAGATCGGAATTAGACCCACTTAAAATCCAATGAGCATATGGAGGCATGGAGCCATGAGCCATCAAAGCTCAACAAGTAGAACATGCCATCGTTCTTGTGATCACCTTAAACCAGTTTGTCATTTTTAGAACATGGCATCAGTTATAATATTGTTTCTTAAAATTGAACTTTGTTATAGTTGCTATTTTCCATGAACTTTGCTGAGATGTTTTGGCTAGTTTAAATTACCCTCGCTATTTGATTCTGGTGCTGCAAGCCTGTAAAAATAGTGGAGAACCACTGAAATTAATCAACATGAAAGTAACAAAATGGCATGCAGCATTGCAGTTCAATGCAGTGATTATGTCATGAGAGCTAGTTCAGACACCGAATTTCTGGAATCACTGGACCAATTGATCGAGGCCGCACTATTCTGACTTATCTGCATTTGTTCAATGAAACCAGACATGCATTTATGATCAAACTCCTGCAATATAATATAGTATTACTGTTAGAAATGTGCATGACTCTGAATTCTAATGAGTGATGACAGTAAGTAACTGAATCTTCTGAGTTCTGAATCACTGAACCGGTCAGGCGATCAAGCATCCATGGTGGCTATGGGATCATCCTAACAAATTTTGTCCAGAACTCTGTTTTTTGTATGTAAAATTTCACAATAAACTCACTCACTGGAAAGGACTGGGCAGATTCGTTTTGTTTGCTGCAGAGATGAGAACAAGTTCAGAACTCGTTTATATGAATCTTGCAGAGTCCACTCTTTCAAATCCAATCCTGAATCTGCGCTTCCTTTGAGCAAATTCTACACTCCGTGTTCTTGGGCCCCACTCGTCATTGACTACGGTTGACCACAGCTGACCGTCGGACCCACCTGTCAGAGAGCGACCTGCGTCTTCTCGCGAGTCGCGACGCCTTCAAATGCCACCGCCTCCCTCGGCGTCGAAACGTAACCGTCGCTAACAAACTCCTCCACGGCTACTTGCCTCTCTCGTCTTCCTCCCCACGCCACGCCACGCCACGCCTCGCCATCGCGCGCGCGCTCTCGCTACGCCTCGCCTCGCCACCGCGCGCGCGCATCGATCGCTCGCCTCACCACCGCGGCGCGGCCATGGAGTCCTTGTCCAACGTCCTCGCGCGGCAGCCGATGATGGAGGTTTTCCAGGAGGTGGAGTTCGCGGCGCTGAGGATCTGGAAGAGCGGCTCCTACCTCCACGCCGACGAGGACGGGAGGTCCGTCTACGTCGGCAGCCTCCCCCGCGACGGCGGCGGTGACTCGAGGCACTGCGCGGTGTGGGCCGTCGAGCCGCCGATCGACGCCGCGGCGCCGCTGCCGCAGTACGTGCGCCTCCGCGGCGCCTACGGCCGCTACCTCGGGGCCCCCGACTCCTACGGCTCCCCGCTCCCCTTCCTCTCGGTGGACGCCGCGCAGCGCGACCGCGACAGGGTGGAGATGGACGCCATCATATGGCAGCCCGTCGCGTGCTCCGGCTCCGACGTCGTCGGCGGTCGCGATGCCCGCGGCGTCGTCCTCCTGCGCGACAGGTACGGGCGCTACCTGCGCGGCAGCAACAATCTCCTGGCTCCCCGCCGCAGCGTCCCTGTCAATCTCCTGTGTTAGAGTTTGTGTCGAATATGTGTACAAAATCGGTTACAGTTTAGGACTTTGAGTTGTACTAGGTATAAGACTAGAGTAAGAGTCGGACTCTATCCTAGGTTCTCTCATAAATAGAGGGGCGTGCCTGTTGTAACCGCATGGCGACTTAGCATAGCGAGAGAAAGCGGCTGCCGACAGCAACCGGCCGTGAGTCGTTGTAACTCTTATACGCTGTATATGCTGGATCGGGGAGGAGCGCCCATAATCAGTGCCCCGGAGATGTAGGCCTCGGCTGAACTCCGTTATCAAATATCGTGCCTCGGTGTCGTCATCATGTTTGGATCTCCTATGGCGTTTTCTTCTGTGGTTTGGTTTCCGATGTGATTTCGGGGCTGGTTTTATAACAAGTGGTATCAGAGCCTGCGGGAGATCCATGGTAGAGGTACGACGGAGGTGCTCCACGCCGCGACGACTACACAGGGTGTCCAGGGACGGACATGGACGCAAGGTGGAGCACGGCGGCGATCAACGGAATTTGATCGGTGGAATCGGACACTTCAGGCGGCGGTCTGAACCGTTCGATGGCTGCAATCAACAGGGAGATGACTAGATGTGGTGCTCGGGTTGATGGCGGCGGAAGCGATTGGCGATCCAATCGGTGGGTTGGACACTTCAGGCAGGTGGCTCGAACTTTCTGGTGAGCTACTCTCAACAGGGAGACGTGTGGCCACACGCTCGGGTTGATTGAAGCTGGAGGCGATCGGCGTTCTCGGTCGGTGGATCGAACACTCTGGGCGGGGTGGCCCGGGCCTTTTGATGAGCTGCGTTTGACAGGGAGACGGCTAGACGTAGCGCTCGGGTCGTTCGGCGGCTGGGAAGACGGCATGACGATTTGTCGGCTTCGGCTGATCAATCGGAGGTCGGAGCGGATTTGTTTGCGACGAACTTCGTGCGGCATGAACACGGCTTGGTGTGGTCGTTGTGTAGGTGCCGGCGGGATTCGGCGCGGGCCGGCTCCGGTCATTGGAGGCGGTGACGGTGCGCACAGGAGCAGCACAACAAAATTGGATCAAGCAATAGGAGCTTCTTGGACTTTTGCCATGGATCGCATGCAGTCACGAGGAACAAGCTTGGTTTCGTGGTGGCTGTGGATGTGTGCATGCATGCGGCAAGGGTGTCCATTGGCATATTGTGTGTAGGTCTATTCACAGAGCAGCAAATTGGTATCGGAATCCAATTGCAGAGGATGTGCAGTTTGTGTAGCTGGTGGAGGTCGACACGGTTGCGGAGTTGTTTATCAACTCGGAGTCGCGATGGACGTGGAGATCAGCACGGAGGCTAGGTGGCTGGAATTGACAGCAAGAATAACTGTGCATCAGGGCTTCTGCGTTATGATTCGAAGGCAAGGCTGCGGTGGTGCAGGAGTGGGGCAAAGGTGCGTGAAGAAAATCCCGGGCAACAGCGGGTAAAAATCGTTGAGGGTGTCAGCGGGCTGTTTGGCAGTACAGGATATATCCAGGATCTGTGGGGTTTACATGATGGGGATATATGAAATCTGCGTCACTGAAGAGGAAGAGCGAGCGCTATGGTGATAATTTCTTCGGGTGATTCAAGGCAACGGTGAATTTTCTCAAAATTATCGGATATTCAGTCTATGGATGCGGGAAGGCGTGGATGTTGAATTCGTTAGCTCGGTTCATAAGACAACAAGGAATAAATGGTTCTCTTCATGTCTGGTGAGTTTGATTTATCTATTTGGTGATGACACAAGTTATCTAGCCATGGATTAGTTCAAGTCAAATTGAAAATGGAAGATGGAGGTGAACATGGTCTTCGGGAAGTCTATGATGTGACAGCTAGGAAGGAATTCAAATTTCGCTTGGCAAGACGACTGTGGTGATAGGTGAGAAAGTGGAGCACTGTTGCAGGTGGAGTCAAGAGGAAGAAATTACAGAGATAGCGGGAGTCTCTTGTTTACGGTAAGCCTGGTGGAGGCTTGTCGGGGCGGCTCGGCGTGAGCGGCGGAAGAACCAACTCAAGTCCGAGTACACGAGGTTCGAGCAAGTAACATATTCAGGTTGGCGTGGCATATTCGCCAAGGTGGAGTTTGTTAGAGTTTGTGTCGAATATGTGTACAAAGTCGGTTACAGTTTAGGACTTTGAGTTGTACTAGGTATAAGATTAGAGTAAGAGTCGGACTCTATCCTAGGTTCTCTCATAAATAGAGGGGCGTGCCTGTTGTAACCGCATGGCGACTTAGCATAGCGAGAGGGAGCGGCTGCCGGCGGCGACCGGCCGTGAGTCGTTGTAACTCTGATACGCTATATATGCTGGATCGGGGAGGAGCGCCCGTAATCAGTGCCCCGGAGATGTAGGCCTCAGCTGAACTCCATTATCAAATATCGTGCCTCGGTGTCGTCATCATGTTTGGATCTCCTATGGCGTTTTCTTCCGTGGTTTGGTTTCCGATGTGATTCCAGGGCTGGTTTTATAACATCCTGTTTCGGTGGGAGGTGGTGCGTGTCCCCCTCAGTCAAGCCAGGCCGGAGCTGTCAGGACCTAGGGAGCAGAAATGGACGGATTCAGCACTCGGGAGTAGAAATTTGGGAAAAGTTGGTGGTCGCCGCAAGAACCCTAACACTAGATCTATTCTACTCCTATGAGACAAAGATAATTGAGTTTTTCGTCATATCTTTCATTCCTCATCGGGCTGATTAAGTATCGATTACACTCTTGGATAACTCAGCACACACACAGCTGTAAAGAAAGTTACAGAACAAAACGACAAACGCTGACGACTACAGTGACTCGGACACGCGACTCCACCGTTGGATTTAACATGTATCCTTCTCAGCCGTCAGATCTTCATATTTCCCCTTTCTCCCAAACGTTATCTTCAATTCTTCAGAAAATTCAGAAAGTTCAGATACAGAGCTCTTCCATTTCAGACTTCAGGTCCTGACATTGCCCCCTTCTTAAGTTGAAACTTGTCCTCAAGGTTCAAAATTTGGGAATGTAGCCCTGATGAATGTAGCATCCTCCCATGTAGCATCAGCTGGCGATAGATTGCGCCACAACACCAGCCATTGTACCACTGGTTCTCCTCTCCTTGGAATCATTCGACGTTGCAGAATTGCTACAGGTTCTGCCTTTATCTGCCCGTCGGGTCCTACCAGTGGTAAATTAGGCATTGGAACAGCATGGCGCCCCAGATGCTTCTTCAATTGGCTCACATGGAACACAGGGTGGATATTAGCTCCTTCAGGTAGCTGAAGTTTGTATGCCACTTGACCAATCTTTTGTTCCACCCGAAATGGTCCATAGAACTTGGACCTTAGCTTCAAGGATCCTCTCACACCCAAGGCATTCTGCCTGTATGGTTGCAATTTGAGATATACCATATCTCCCACCTGCAATTCCCTCTCAGTCCTGTTCCTGTCCGCATAGTGCTTCATTCTCTTCTGAGCAGCATCCATACTACTCTTGAGGTTTTGAATTATAGCCTCCTTCTCTTCCAAAGAAACTCTTGCCTCAGCAGAAACATTGCAGGGAACGGAGAATTCATTGATCTGTGGGGGAGTGTACCCATAAAGTGCCTTGAATGGGGTCATCTGAATTGCTGTGTGATATGTGGTATTGTACCACCATTCAGCCAGTGCTAGCCAAGAGTACCAGTTCTGAGGTTCCTTGAAAGTCATGTTCCTGAGATAGGATTCCAAGCACTGATTCACCCTCTCACTTTGCCCATCTGTTTGTGGGTGATAGGCCGTGCTGAACCTCAGGTTGACCCTTCTGGCTTTGAACAGCTCCTGAAACAGGTTACTAGTAAATATCCTATCTCTATCAGTGACTATGACCAGTGGCATCCCATGTAATTTGTGTATGTTATCCATAAATGCCTCCACTACTTGTTCTACAGTATAGGGGTGAGACAGAGCAATGAAATGAGCATACTTTGTGAGTCTGTCAACTACAACCAATATGACATCCTTTCCCTTTGATTTAGGCAGCCCCTCAATGAAGTCCATAGTGATGTGAGACCAAGCCATATCCGGTACTTCAAGTGGACTGAGTAGCCCAGGGATGTGCACATGTTCAATTTTTGTCACCTGACATGTTGGGCATTCTCTAATGTATACTTCTACCTCCCTCTTCATTCCTGGCCAATAAAATAGTTTCTTGATTCTGTGATAGGTGGCTCTAATTCCAGAGTGGCCTCCAAAGGCTGATTCATGATATGCCCTCAACAACTACTGCCTGATGTCACTGACACTTCCCACATATATTCTTCCCTTGTATTTGAGCAACCCAGATTCTTCTTTATACAATTGCTCCGGATCCATATCAGTCCCAATTAAGCTAATGATTTTATGTGCCAATACATCCCCTTCATAGCTCCTTTTGATGTCTGTCACCCACTCAGGAATCACCACTGTTATAGCTTGACATGATTCAGCAGGGACTGCTTCTGAAATTTTCCCCCTGGACAGGGCATCAGCCACTAAATTCTCCTTCCCAGCCTTATATTCAATTGAGTAATCATACTCCATCATCTTCAATAATAATTTGTGTTGAATGCCCTCTACCAATCTTTGGTTCATCATATACTTTAGACTCTGCTGGTCTGTCTTGATTACTAGTTTGTTCCCCAGAATGTAGTGTCTCCATTTCTTAAGTGCTTCTAAAATAGCCATAGCCTCCTTTTCATAAATTGACTGTGCTGCTGCCTTGGGCCCTAATGCTTTACTAAGGTATGCAATGGGTTTCCCTGTCTGCATTAGCACAGCCCCTATTCCTGTGTTGCAGGCATCTGCCTCGATCACAAATGGTTGTGAGAAATCTGGCATTGTCAGCACTGGGCTGGTACTCAATCTCAGCTTCAGTTCTTCAAATGCTGTTGTTTGTTCTGGGCCCCATTGGAATGCATCTTTCCTTAACATATCATGTAAGGGCCTGCATATCACACCATATCCCTTGATGAATCTCCTGTAATAACCAGCCATCCCCAAGAACTCTCTCAATTC